AAGCGAGTGAGAGAGAGAGAGAAAGCGAGCGAGCGAGCGAGAGAGAGAGAGAGAGAGAGAGAGAAGAGAAATAGATAGATCAACGATTTTATTTTTGTTTTATCAGAATATGTATAGGAAGTAAGACGTCTCTCTTAGTTCTAATTTTGTGAAATCTTAGAAAGTACTTAGCGCGTTGATTTTAGACAGTTTGTAATATACAATTTTATTGTTTTATAATATCAGTTCTACGTGATATAGGCGGATAAAAACGCCTCCATCGCGAGTAATGCTCAAATTTCCGGCAATCCAGAGGCTAAATGTATATGTGCAAGCCGGAAATTGTATATATAAATCTTTATTTCTAAACAAAATAATTAATCTTTTGTTATATATACATATATTCATATCAAACCCAGGTCTGAAAAAATTGGAGAAGATAGGAATACTTTTTCATGGAATTAACAGAAAATTACAGTGCACACATATTTCCCTCGCTATTTTTTTCCATTATAATAAGAATGATTTAATTCGTATTTTTTCCGGTTTAGTATTTTTGCAAATTCGGAGTATAGACTTAAAATTGTTCTGATGCGTATAATATTCTTTTTTTCATTTTTGCGGAATTTACGTACAAAGATATTTTTGTATCAGGCCTGATTTTCTCCAGACACAATTCTTACTATCAACAAAAAAAGAAATTTAGAATAAGTAAAAAAGATTCACAAATTGCATCTCGGTACCTCTTACTAGAACGTTACGCGCAACATTTATATTCAATAAGGAAACGATAATATATGACAAAATAACGAAGAAATGTAATAGAAGTATAAAAAGTCCTCGGTCGTCGATTGAATAATATATTGTGCGCTGACGATAATATCGTGCCGTAAAATTATAAATTGACAAGCTGTTGCTGTACAAAGACATCTAGCAGTTTTGCCACAAGTTTCAGTTACGAACAATAAACTATTGTTCCAAGTAATTATCTCTCTTAATATCTTCCCTTTAGTCTTGTCTTTCTAAGTCGACATCGTTCATAGAAATAGAAACATTGAGGAAGACATTGAACACTTCACATGAAAATAGAATTTATTTCGTACATTTAGTGTTTGTCATAAATTCATCAAAAAATTCACTGAGAGCTGATCCAAATACATTTAACCAGTTCACTGTGGACTCGAAATGTTTTTTTGTCAAAACTGGTGAAAGTGAATAATTTCGTATTTTACGTGAAAGTTCGACTACAAGAATTTTTTTGAATCACTGAATGAATCCAGGATCGAAATTTCAAAATAGCAATCCAACATGGCCAAAAAACATATGATGACTTTTTTTCATTCACATATGAGTAATTATCAATGAACTGATTAATGTATATGTGCTGATGATAAATATACCTATATGTCGTGAAGTTACAATTAACAAACTGTTGCTGAATAAAAAACCAGCTACCAGTTTTGCTACAAGTTTTAGTTACGAACAATAAACTATTGTTCCAAGTAATTATCTCTCTTAATATCTTCCCTTTAAACTTGTCTTTCTAAACATCGATATTACTGTTTATAGAAATAGAAAGGCGAGAGAAGATATTGAATATCGACGCTTGAGCCGTAGATGTTATATCGAGAAAGAGGATGTTATATCATGAAGAAAGGTTTCTGTCAAAAAATGAATGAAAAGCGGTCTATTTCGCATAAAGCGAAGATCGATCTATGTCGGAACGTATACGAAATACGGTTTATATCGAGAAAATGAGAAGAACGGTTCAAGTCGGTTCAAGTCGCATAAAATTAAAGAAGAGATTATATAGCGCAATATATTTTCTTCTCATGAATTTTATAGTGGTATGACTGAAAATGGGAATCATCTGGATTTTCAATCCTGTTTCTCACATTCATTTATTCATATATTATTTAGGTTCCATAACTAAATTTGTGTAATTTATGAGTAGTGAATATTGCGTTATAGACCCTTCTAATTTTATGCGACTTGAATCATTTTTCTTATTTTCTTATTAAACTGTACTTATTAAACTGTGCGTTTCGACATAAACCGGACTTCACGCGAAATAGACCGTTTTTCGTTTATTTCTTGAGAGAGATCTCTCTTCATGTTTTTTTCGATGTGACACTTTCTACGGCTCAAGTGTCGATATACTTTACATAAAAATATAATTCTTTTGTATTTTGTACATTCAACGTCGTAAATTTCACCAGGAAATTCGCTGGGCATAGGGTTGATCCTTCCAATAAAATACTTTGGTGACGAAAATTGTAATATGCAAGAAATTGATAGCGTGTATCGTAAAGGATTCACAAAGAATCTGCCATCTTTCTGGCCTTTTCATATTTAACCGGTAAAATATGTATGGGAGGATAAAATAACGCGGTTCTACCAGTAATTGAGGTATCAGCACCACGCACACGCAAATAACATAATTAATCTGTGTGAGAAATCTCAAATGCGCAATGTTCCGTGACATGGCGAACAGGCTCGCGCAGTAAATCGGTATCAGCAGGTACTTTAATTCCGCGTATCGGCTCATATATCGATTCCACACGTAAAACGAGTAATGCCGATTATCAGCCAAAATGTACGGATGAACGAGCGTATTGGAACATATCGTTGCGGCCATCAACGCGACAGCACTACTCGCGAAAATCCAACGCTGACGAAGGAATCGCAAACACGTTTGCCAATGAGGTATAACGTACGGCCATGAGAACAGAGAAACAAAGGCGGAGAAATAAAATATCTGACAAACATGGATCGTTGCAACGTGGGCACTACGATCGCCGACCACTATGCCTCCATTCCACGCGACAAAAGCAGCGAACATGAGGCATACCGTTAAGTAAGGAAGTAGACTACCACATATCTGCGCAACAAACTTGACGAAGGACAGCGGACCTTTGCGCAATTCGTACATTAGTTGCCTCCAAATTAACTAAAAGAGATTTAAGAAGTTTATTAGATTAATTTGTCTACAGTATTCGTATCAAGCTAAGTATTCATAATCGGATCTTATTTTAAGACTGTCTGAAGTAATGTATTAAGATGCTAATGCAACTCTCTGGCTGGTATTCATAGTCGGTTCTTATTTTAAGACCGTCTTAAGTAATGTTTTAAGATGCTAATACGGCCCTCCGATTGGCTTATGACATCTTAAGACTGTACTTAAGACAACCTGAAATATAAGAATCGATTATGAATACCGGCCTCTGATTGGTTCATGATATCTACTATACTTAAGACAGTCTTAAATGTATGATTTGACTATGAATACCGATCTAAGATTGAGAGTAGAATTGAGAAGAATGCTTTTCAATAATGTACACAAGCGACACGTACACAGTATACGATTCCGTATTTTCTAAGTATAATACAAATATGATATAAGTTGACGCAATCATGCTTCACTGTTATCATTTTATATCACTCTATAAATATCAAATTTTAATATTTCATTATCAATTATTTTCTAAAAGTGATATATACTCCAATAAGATATTTCAAAATTACATTCGGATATATTCAAACATAGATGTACAAGATCTTTTTCTTTATTTTTCTCTGAGTAAAATAAAAAGCTAAGTGATATTTCATTAACAAGTCGACACTTGTATTACTGTGTATGACTGTATTTTGTTGCTGGGAAGCATCCTAGTCAATCAGAAG